AGTCGTGTATGATGTGATTCCTATGCATATGCATGTGTGTTCTATACTATTGGGAAAACCCTCGATGGACACGAGACAATTAACTTATCATTATGATGGTGAATTTTCTTTTGTATGAAAGGCTCGACGTATACTACTTAACTCATATACCCTGGAAATATATGGCAGATCGCCAAAGGCGTGATCATGCTCAGGAAGCAATTGATGTGAAGGTACTCAATGACCAAGAGGAAGCATACGTGGACATTCAATATGCTGAATTTTTGGCCTGGACAGTTTCTGCGGATGCATATGCGGAGAAGATAGACTTGAAACCGAGGACGGTTTCATTTCAAGGGGGAGAGGATGATATGGATAACACTAGTTCTATTTGTACTGTCGACAACCATGACTTATAAGATGTTGGTCTGGTTCAAGTTAAGGCAGTTTCGCTCGTGATAACGTGAGGCGTCTTGATTAGGAGAAAATGAAGGTTGAATTAGAATCAAAATTTGCTGCTGTGCCAAAATACACAATGCATGCTTGGATATTAGAAAAAGAAATAAAATAATTCCAACACATACACATTTGATCAAGGCATGCGTCAACTAGGTTGTTTTTTTTAGGAAAAGGAAATCTCATTAAAACACATAAGCTGGGTTACAATCAGAGTTAATTACATGCATCAAACCCTGTGGCACATCAGCTAGAATACAAAAATCACCATTCACTCTAGCAAAGGAAGCTAGCTCATGTGCGGCCACATTGCATTCTCTGTAGATTTTGGATACTGTGCATGATTCAAACTCTCTGAACATTTCCTTCACTTTCACATAGCAGGCCCACCAACTGGCTCTATTAGTGTTGCAATCATTCACAGCAGTTACTACAGCGGAACAATCTAATTCAAAAATCACATTGTTCAAAGCTAATCTGTGTGCATGGGTGAGGCCAAACAACAAGGCATGAGCTTCAGCTTCCTCAGCTTCAGTACATCCATGAAAGCAGCAGCCCGTTGAGAAGACCACCGCACCCGAACTATCTCTGCCAATAGCTCCGAGCGCAGCTAAACCAGAAGCTGGTATGAAAGAAGCATCGACGTTAACTTTTATGTGATTTCCAGAAGGCTTTGCCCATCTAATAGCATGTCGAGGATGACTCGTATGCTGCATTTGAATTTCATGCATTTTCTGCTTTCCTTTGGCATCATTTGCAATTAGATTTGGGGCTGATAAACACTCCCTATAGCTTTTCAAGAAACTCACTGAATCCCAAACAGTAGCCTTGCCTTTGTTATGAATTACGTCATCTCTTAGGTGCCATGCCCTCCACAGCACAAGCATAAACTTCTCCTTCATCTCGCCAGGGCATAAGCTCAAGTTTTGCAATAGCCAATCAGGGGAGAAAAGCAAGAGCGACTTAACTTCAGGTAGTTTCCAAATTTTACACATTTCCTCTCAAATTGCTCTCTGTTTTGTGCATGTTACAGTAGCATGGTGAGCATTTTCAACAGCACTTCCATAAATATTGCAGGTACGTACCATCCAGCTCAAGTGTCCTCTTGTGCTTATTTTCCTTTGGTTGTTTCTTTTGGTTGTGACGTCCACAACAAGAGTATACATGGACAGGATACTTTTTGATTGAGACTAATGGAAGAAGCCTTATTGGTTACTACTTCTCATTATCAAGGCCGCCGGAGATTTATGTGTGCGTGATCAGGTTTAAATGGTGGGGTTTGCTGCCCTTGAGAAACATTGGATCGGGGCGGCCCGCCAGGAAATCGTGTTTAATTACTTTAAGTGTTTAAATTCTAATGATTACTTGCTAAGTTAAAGCTTGGGATCAGATTTACTTCCTTAGGTGGTGGTCGAGACTTAGAGATAAATAAGTTTTTGTTTGGTCGACTTATTAGGCAAGTTTGAGTCGGCTAGCGGTACTGGTATATATAGTCATGGTACCCTCTTTGTAAAAGCAGGTTATATTTTGGAATTTGGACAACGTCGTGTTTCGATCATGAAGCGGCCGTCTTCAAGTGCCGTTGTTATTTATTTTGTATAAATTTTCTGTGTGAAAGTTACACTTCGCTAGAGGTCTATCGTTTCCGACGGGTTGCGTGCTGGCTACGTCTACTTCGACAGCAGGTTCTTCATGCGTCGAGGGATTGTCCATTGGTTGTCGTTACCCCATCTTCAGATTATGTGTACTGCTCGTGTAATTAGGAGATTTTATCAACTGAATTCAAAGGAGTTCATCGTACCGTGAAAGATAAGGCCAAATCAGTAGCACGACGAGGTTGTGCTTTCATCAGTCGGTATTCAGAGCAAAGGTTGTTCACGGTAAAATTGTTTTTTCCAGATACCATTGGTATTTTTGGCCTCGATAGTTTATGCAGATGCATATGCTGGGGAGATAGACTTGAAACCGAGGACGGTTTCGTTTCAAGGGGGAGAGGATGATATGACCAACACTAGTTCTATTTGTACCGTCCACCACCATGACATACACGACGTTGGTCTGGTTTAAGTTGAGGCAGTTTCGCTCGTCACTGTTTGCGATAACGTGAGGCGTTTTGATCAGGAGAAAATGAAGGTTGAATTAGAACCACAATTTTCTTCTGTATCAAAATACACAATGCATGCTTGGATATTAGAGAAGGAAGAAAATAATTCCAACACATACATGTTCGATCAAGGCATGCGTCAACTTGGTTGTATCTTTTGGTTGCCACGTACACAACAAGACTATACATGGATGTGATACCTTTTGATTGAGACTAACGGAAGTATCCTAGTCGGTTACTACTTCTTACGATCAAGGCCGCCGGAGATATATGTATACGTGAGCAGGTTTAAATGGTGGCATTTGCTGTCCTTGAGAAACATTGGATGGGGCTGCCGGGAAATTGTGTTTAATTACTTTAAATATATAAATTGTAATGATTACTTGCTAAGTTAAAGCTTGTGATCAGATTTACTTCCTTAGGTGTTGGTCGAGAGTTAGATATAAACAAATTTTTGTTTGGTCTAACTTATTAGGCAAGTTCGAGTCGGCTAGCTGTACTGGTATATATAGTAATGGTAGGCTCTTTGTAGAAGGATGTTATATTTTTTGAGTTTAGATAACGTCGTGTATCGACCATGAAGCGGCCGTCTTCGGGTGTCGCTGTTATTTATTTTGTATAAATTTTCTGTGTGAAAGTTACACTTCGCTCAAGGTTTGTCATTTCCGATGGGGTGCGTGCTTGTTACGTCTACTTCAACAGGAGGTTCTTCGTGTGTCAAGAGATTGTCCATTGGTTTTCATTATCCCATCTTCCGGTTACCTGTACAACTCGCGTAATTGGGATATTTTACCAGCTGAATTCAGAGGAGGTCAATGTATTTTGAAAGATCGGGCCAAATCAGTAGCACGGCGAGGTTGTGCTTTCATCAGTTGGTATTCAGAACAAAGGTTGTTCACGGTAAAGTTATTTTCTTCCAGTTACGGTAGATATTTTTATTTATCATGAGGAAAGATTGTAGTTCGCAAATGGAGATGGCAATGAAGAAGGATCCATTGCGTGCCTTGCCTTTTTACCAATGCTTTATGCGTGTGCATGTCGGAGTTTTATCAAGATCATGCATCGCGTCGAAGTAGTTTCCCTTTATGTGGATATGATGATCTAGTTGTGTGTGATGTGCTTCCTATGCACATGCATGTGTGTTCTATATTGTTGGAAAAATCATGGACGGACAGGAGACAATTAACTTATCATTATGATGGTGAATTTTCTTTTGTACAAAAGGGTCGACTTCCCTCGAGGTCTGTCGTTTCTCATGAGTTGCATGCTGGTTACGTCTACTTGGGCGGGAGGTTCTTGTGTCGAGGGATTGTCCATTGGTTCCCGTTACCCCATCTTTGGGTTATGTGTACTGCTCGCGTAATTGGGAGATTTTATCAGCTGAATTCGGAGGAGTTCATTGTATAGTGAAAGATCGGGCCAAATTAGTAGCATGATGAGGTTGTGCTTTCATTAGATGGGGACCAGAGGAGACTTTGGTCGGCTGGTTCAGCCCAACATCTGCGGCGGCTCTTGATGTCATTACCCTCCTTGTAGGCGAAGCCGAGGTCCCTCCTATCCAGCCCCGACCACCTCCCCGACCAACTCCATATTGTCGAGTTGTTAGGTGTAAGTGGTGGCTTCGGATGACTTGATGTATATTCTTGTCAGATCTTTGTTGAATAATTAATAAAGATGACTGTATGCACCGACTGATGGAGAGGCCGGGGATTTATATCACCTGTCTGAGTAAAAAATGTCACTAATAGAAGGCAATTTTTGGGAACCTCCATAGGTTGGCGTGCGCTCCGTGTTCAGCTATCAGTGTTGGCCATCTTGACCTTTTTCACAGAATATTTTGGACTCAGACAGGCCATAGTGGGACTAACTTCAAGAGTAACATCGATTCGAACTTAGCAAATTTGCCTATGTGACAACGAGTTAATATGTAGATGGGTAAATTGAGTAACTTAGCTAGTTACTGTAACATTACATATCCCAAGACAGTACAAGTCTATAACCTAATAAATGAAGCCTTGCACGACATCACACATATGTTACTACCCATTATAGAGGTACTACCTCCGTCCTAGTTTATTGGTCCCTATTGTATTCTTTGCCGAATTTTGACCATAAATTTAACAAACAAAAAAGTTCATGCATGTCATAAAAAAATATATCATTAAGAACTATGTTCAGATACGAATCGAATGATATAATTTTTGTTTGACATGCACTAACATTTTGCCAGTCAAATCTTTGATCAAAATTTAGTACAAATTATTAAAGGAGCCAATAAACCAGGACAGAGGTAGTAGTAACATAGCCTAGAATAGCGTGTATGTTATGGCTAGTCTCATTCATAGGAGCAGACTTTGCCATCCAGATCCAAGAAGGATGGTGCGCACGCCTATAAATACCTATCTACTCCAGCTAGGAGTTCGATCTAACACAACCATCATATCCATATCCAGCCCAACAAATGGCGCCTCTCAAGGTGACTGCTGCCGTCTGTGTCGTGCTGGTCCTGATGATCCAGCTACAGGTGCCAACGGTCGCGCAGGACATACCATGCGACGAGTGTGAGCCGGGATGCGGCCAGGCTTGCAATGCGCAGCGCCCCTACTTCTGCAACAGCTTTTGCAACATCTTTCCCACCCTGTGCAACTACTGCTTCCTCATCCAATCCGACTTGTGCGTGCCCGGATGCACAAACCTCTGCAGGATCTACTGCGTGTGATCGACCATGCAGGAACACATCGACATGAGTGGACTCCAGAGTGTCGATGAGCATGCCTGCGTTGCCATTGTTATATTTGCTGCTCTATGTGCAATAAGTCAATGCCGGTCAGGCTGCATGCATGTATTGCATGCGAGTGCCTTGACTTAGCATTCGATACTGTGTTTAATTTGCTACTATTCCCTTCACTACAGCATATTACATATTACTACGTTGTGCATCCAATGCATTTATATTGTACGCCCACCATTTGGTTATGAATAAGACTCGTTTGGAATATCACATATCTACCAAAGCAAAGTTCAGGTTGCACCTACTTGTGTATAGTTTATCTGCAAAGGTCAAATGTTCTCTTGTTTGGAAGAAACAAAAAGAAGAATTTTTCATATAAGGATAACACGAATCTTGACACAAACCGAATGGTTTAGATAGAGGGTACGCTAGTATGAGGGTACTAAAAATCCACACTCGAAGTATTCCTATATGCATATCATATAATTATCATTTCGACCAAGTGTTTGGTTGTATATGTAAATCGCGTAACTCCCACGATAATCCATGTAGCCCATTTAAAGATAAAGAAGAGAATTATTCTACGATCTTTACTTGTGTTGTAGGTAAGTTACCTTTTTAGTATATATGATTCCTATTAAATCTATTAGGCTATGTAATTGTTAGAGTACCTCTATGGATTCACTCCTCTCAAACATCAATTTGGGCTACAAGAATTTATACAGGGGAATTGCTCATAGAAGTCCAAGAAACCAAGGTGGAAGAGGGGGGGAAGAAAGTTAGGAGAAGCCAGGGGCGCCGCCAGTGACGTGATCCTACGCGGATTCCTTCTTCGTTGCTTCCTCCCCGATATACGAATGTTCCAAGGCCTCGCCGGCCCTTGGTAAAAGTGGCATGTACGAATGTTCCAAGGCCTCGTCGGCCCGTGATATGAAACGTCCGGACTTGTCAGCACCGGGTTCATAATAAAGTCTCAAAAATGTATTTGGCCTCGTCGGTCGCGAACAAAACGGGTCCAGCCTCGTCGGTCAAGACATGAGATATCTCCGGCCTTGTTAGTCGTGGAATAGTGAAATGACCCCCTCGCCTTGTCGGCCAAGGAGAAGTATGTCTAGCCTCGCCGGCCTAGACTTGCGAGGGTTCCGACCATATTGGTCACGGAAGAGATGGATCGTGTGATGAGACTTTGCAACGGGCGCCCAGCCGTGAGGGCCATGAACGAAGTATCAAGATTTACATACCAGGCGTGTCATCATATTAAGTAGCCACGTTGTTCAAGAATCATGAAAACATGTTCAGATCTGAATATTTGATGTCCACCAGTTGCTAAATGAATTAGCCTGCCATACTGACTCTGCTATGTGCGCAAACAATTAGAGTGACTTCTATTACCCCAAATGGGCTGCAGTTTGTACAGCACACATACTGATTAATCTTTTATGAGCCTTTAAAATTTTAGGCCGAAACTATGAGTGGTTTAGCCGTGAGAAATTAAAAAGTGTTGTTTAGTCTATAATCTCCGCCTCGTACTATTTCGCTGACTTGTTAATTTCTGCCATTTACATCAAACTTTGCACAAGGTATACCATGCATGTCAACTGCATGCTCTTATCAATTTTCCAAGGTCAAACTTGCTTATACTCAGACTGCACCATCTAGTGGTGTAGAGCACTTGCATTCACACAGATGTTTCTTCCATAATAGTACTTGCTTGTGACTTGTACCATTGGATGCATGGGCGCATGGCCATATTAACGTGTGGCCACTGCTGATGAAAGGCTCATCCATGATGGACCGTATGCGCATGAGCACCCTGGCGGCCGTACATGTACGGCAGCCTGCTTGTGGCGTTGCGTCCGTGCTCATGTTTGTCTTGGCCTAGCAGCATGTCTATGTATATGTCTGTCCTCTGGTCGGGCCATTGTATACTCCATCCGTCCTTTAAAAAGTGTATTTTCAACTTTATTAGAAAGTCAAACTATCTCAAACTTAGACACGGTTCGGGTAGGAGTTTGTGCGTTGTTATGGTCAATTTGGAACTGCAGAAATGATTTGGCTTTTAACAGAACAACAACTATTCATTTTTGTAGGTTTTATTCCGAGCTACTGCGCTGATCCGTATGTGGTCCTTACTCACTCCGACGGAGGCCAGGGAGCGTTTGGTTACTGGATCTGTCCGGTGGAAGATGGTAGCGCGGGATATCTTTAACCGGTTTGGATGGCGGTCATGTAATAGGACAGACGATTAGTTTACCTATCTTTGTTATGCCAGCCGGTTGTGGCTTTTGGGACTTTTGTTTTTGGCATTGTGGCTCTTGGTGAGCTAGCCATTTATTTGTTTCCAGACTTTCAGACCTTATTGAACATCCTTTTTTATATATAATTGTGGCTGTATGCATCGTTCTGATGCAGAGGCCGGGGAGTCCCCCCTTTTCGAAAAAAAATTCTCAAACTTTGACCGAATTTGTGCAAAAAGATATCAGTATTTGTGAAACCAAATAGGTTTATAATAAAAATATATTTTATCATGAATCTAATGATACTAACTTGATGACATAAATGTTGATGTATTGTTGTATAAATACAGTCAAACATGAAAATGTTTGACTTTCTAAAAAAGTTGGAAGTACACTCTTCAAAGGACGGAGGGAGTATACTGGCCTGTACTAATTTTGGTCACACAACACCTACACCTGTATTTAGCTCACTGTAAATTGATCAATTCTAGCTCGTAGACGTGCCTGTGTACAATAACCATGAATCATGAATACACCTGTACCTGTGTATAATAATCATGAATGTTGAATCTCGCCTTAATTTCCTAAGGTTGCATGGAGACGTGCAGCTAATCGGAAATCGACGCCTCGTTGTCGACGGAAACGCCTCCTCCACTGAAGCATCACCGAAAATCTTAAAAAATAAGTCCAAAAATAATGTGAGTATCAGAACTTAGCTTGGTGGGTTTGGGATACCACTGTCCCTCTAACCATCCAACCACAAGTTGGTGCGCCGAAGCCTTGCTAAAGGCATGTAGGCATGGAGAAGATTTTCCTCTGATTCTAAGAAAATAGTTAGAAAAAACATTATGAAAATACTTCCCATACTCATAGATACTTCGGTGCGACAAAATCTCGTCAGATACCCAGCTGAAGAAGGTGCTGACGACGTAGCCATTGGCAATACCATAGTGGTTAGAACCGACGTAGTATTCATGGTTGGCATAGCCTTGTGTAAAGACAGCAGTGACAACGATAACGCCCAACCTTCCTTCAAAATGTTCTTGATCGGAAGATGAAATCAAATGGCCAGCTCCCTGGCATCGGTGCTAAAACTAACAATTCTCGGGTAGGGGGTCTCGAACTGGTAGCGTCGGCATGATGGTAACAGGAGGAAACATGGACACAGTTTTACTCAGGTTTGGGCCCTCTCTCACATGTAATACCCTACTCCTGCTCTTTAATATTTTGTGGATGGGGTGCAAAGTGGAGAGAGATCTACCTCGAAGTCATACGAATGTGTTCTAATCTCTAAAAACCTTTCCTCTACAGACTAAACCCCTCGGCTTATATAGGCACCGTGTGTATCTAAGTTTTACATATGGTCGGTTACAATCTAGGGATAACATGCCGAACAATTAAACACGCCTTGAAGTGTATTCCATATTTAGTATGCCGAGAGTCAGGGCATATATGGCCTCCGTGGTGTGCACCCTTTAATTCAAGACACCATCAGTAGCCCCTAAACATGTCTTCAAGTGGAGGACCCAGGCTTCTATCTTCAAAACAACTTCAATCTTATAGTCATCGGTTTCGTAGGTGAGTTCTATCTTCCACATCGTCTCCTTAATTCGAGGCATCTCAATCCAAGTCTTTTTTATGTTCTTCATAATCAATCTTCTCTTCAAAAAGCACCAGGCAAAATGTGTAGATCGCCTACTCCATCAAATAAGTGGTATTTTTAACAAAGCCCTCATCTGAGTAGTTTTTGCTTTTACTGACCCGACACTAGTAGAAAACGGGCCATCAGTCCCAGCTCCAGAGGCCCTTTAGTCCCGGTTCTGTAACCAGGACAAAACGATCGGGACTAAAACCCAGAACTTTTAGTCCCGGTTGGCTTACGAACCGGGACTAAAGGGGCTCCACATGGCTGTTGTGGGGTGCCCACGCAGGAGGACCTTTAGTCCCGGTTGGTAAACCGGGACTAAAAGGTCGCCACACGTCAGCAACCCCTAGGCGCTAGGTTTTTTTTGAAGGGGGTGGGTGTTTAGGGGTTTTGGATGGTTTAGGGGTTTCATATTGTTTTAGCTAGCTACTACATATATATAAAGAGAAGTGACCGCTCTTTCTCCGTGCTTGGTGGACGCTAGCTAGTACATATAGAGAGAATTCAACGGTATAGTAAGCAAATGAAGGAAACCATTAATTACGCAAGATCGTCATGAACATATATAGAGAGAAGTGACCCCTCTTTCTCCGTGCTTAGTCGAACAACAAGTTTACATATATCTATCCGACGCTACTACATATATACAATATAACATCCCTTACATCATCAAGCACCAAACTGTTGGGTTTCGTAGTAATTTCAAAAAAATTCCTACGCACACTCAAGATCATGGTGATGCATAGCAACGAGAGGGGAGAGTGTTGTCTATGTACCCACGCAGACCGATTGCGGAAGCGTTGACACAACGTAGAGGAAGTAGTCGTACGTCTTCACGATCCAACCGATCAAGCACCGAAACTACGGCACCTCCGAGTTCAAGCACACGTTCAGCTCGATGACGATCCCCGGACTCCGATCCAGCAAAGTGTCGGGGAAGAGTTCCGTCAGCACGATGGCATGGTGACGATCTTGATGCACTACAGCAGCAGGGCTTCGCCTAAACTCCGCTACAGTATTATCGAGGATTATGGTGGCAGGGGGCACCGCACACGGCTAAGGAATAGATCACGTGGATCAATTTGTGTGTTTCTGGGGTGCCTCTG